GGCAGAAGAAGATGGCTTTGAGACCCAGGAGGTTGGTCTGCTACCTAAGACTGCTTGGTATGGTGAGATGCCACCTTGAAAGGCCAGACTGCCCTGGCTTCACCAGCACAACAAATGAATGCCTTTTGAATTATTATATATTTACATGAGCTAGCACACTGCACAGATTTGTATCCTGTTTTTCAGTTGATAGATTTCCAGGGTGGCTTAATGGTTTTCAAACAGTAACATTTGCTATTTTATTTCTACAGACCTGCAGCCTTTCAGTTTTAATGGAAAGGTGTGCCGACTACAGTGAATTTGAAACAGGCAGAAGCCTCTTGTGCTATCACAACTGCCCTTTTGCTGTCACACCCCTCTTGTGCTGACTGGCCATGGAGATATGCTTTCAGAAGGATATGGCAGCACAACTACCGCACTTACTAAGATCAGCCAGAAAACCCAGAAAAGGGGAGGGGAAAGGATGGGATGAGCGAGGAGCTGATTTACACCAAATCCTCAGATCTCCTATATTGCAGGGAAACAGTCACTGTACCAGCCCAAAATTAGATTGTGGTGCAAGTAGTCCTAAGTGAGTTCAACATCTTGAGGCTGAAAGAGAGGTAGACTCAGCATAGCTTAGATGATCCTCAGGCACCTTGGCTAGCTAGGATTGCATCCTTGGTTTGAAGTTAAGAGTTCAGTGTAAGTTTAAAAGCCTGCATATCCTTTAATCCAAAAGTGGCCGTAGCCCAAGGAACAAAACGGAAACCAAGAGCTTTCCACATTCCCAGCCCTGAGCACAGCACTCCAAGAAGCACTCCGGAGGTGGAAGGCTGAAAATAGCTCTCCTTTTAATTTCCCACAATGACCCACAGCATCATAAATAAATAAAGGTCACAGAAGGCTGGCATTGAGAGTGGCAGCAAGATGGAGCCCCCTCACCTGTTCTGGCATTCTAGGCCAGATGCTTTTTTAAAGGGGAGGCTCATGGTCTTGCTGGAACATACTCACCACTGTGGGTCCAGCTGGGCCCACAGTCACAATTTGTGTCTGGGGCTGATATCCATCTGATGATGCAGTAACTGTGTAAGTGCCAGGCAATAGTAGACGGAAATAGTCACCATGTTCACCTAAAGAGGAAAAGAGATACTGGAAAAAAAATGCAGATTGCAGAGCAAGAGAGCTCTGCATGGGCCTATGAGCCCCCCCCCAAAAAAAGAGACAAAAATGTGGCACCTTAAAGACTGCTATGTTTTAATGTGAGCTTTCTTGGATCCAGTCCACTTCCTCAGACATAAGGGTGAGACTCTAAGACTTGCTCCACAAAATCAAAAGGAAATTAAAGGAAGCGGACTGGATCCATAGATGCTCAAGTTAAAATATAGCAGTTAGTTTTTAAAGTGTCACAACATTTTTCTCTCTTGCTTTTTGTTTTGTTTTCTTATCTGATATTCTTGCATTGCACACCACGGCTACGTCATCCATCTGATGATGCAGTAACTGTGTAAGTGCCAGGCAATAGTAGACGGAAATAGTCACCATGTTCACCTAAAGAGGAAAAGAGATACTGGAAAAAAAATGCAGATTGCAGAGCAAGAGAGCTCTGCATGGGCCTATGAGCCCCCCCCCAAAAAAAGAGACAAAAATGTGGCACCTTAAAGACTGCTATGTTTTAATGTGAGCTTTCTTGGATCCAGTCCACTTCCTCAGACATAAGGGTGAGACTCTAAGACTTGCTCCACAAAATCAAAAGGAAATTAAAGGAAGCGGACTGGATCCATAGATGCTCAAGTTAAAATATAGCAATTAGTTTTTAAAGTGTCACAACATTTTTCTCTCTTGCTTTTTGTTTTGTTTTGTTTTCTTATCTGATATTATTGCACAAACTACCACGGCTACGTCTTCGAAAACTGTATGGACTTGTTTTGATACAGTTTGGCAGAGTTGTTGTTGTTATTGTTGTTGTTGTTGTTGTATTACAACTTCCAGAATCCTCCAGCCAACATGACCATGACTCTTGTCTTGACAAACTCTCTGAATGAAAACATTAGACTGTGTCCTCACTGCTCGGCAATCCTGTTGGCTTTGCTAACAGAATAATAGCACAATAAGATGTCAAGGAAATCTAAGTCTTGTCAGCTGTTCAGTCTGAAAATGTGAAGAGACAAAACTCACATGTATGCCAAATGCAACCTAATGTCTGTCTTTCCAACATGTGCTAGCTCCTCATCACTCTGGTCTGAATCAGTGCTTAAAATCCCTTTTCAGACCTTTGTGCTGAATACTTGTATGTGGACACTGTTAATACAGGGAATTTATTGGTTAGAGATAGTCCTAGTATTAGGTGGAGGAAGTGAACCATTTCTGGCATCAGACATTAGGTGGCAGCACCTGCTGTCATTTGGCAGTTCCTTTTGAGCCCCACAAGACTCATTGCTGATTTCTGCAAAGATATAACACAGCTATCCCCTCTGGAATTTTCAAAGCAAATAGACATGCCAAGCAATGATAGTTTTTTGTTCAAACATGGAGAGAAGGAAATTAAAGTTAAGTAATTTGAATACCACCGAAGAAGACAGCCCTGATTTGCATCCAGCTGGATACCAACCTGAAGTGATATCATGGCCGACCCCTGCAACAGAAATGACAGCACCTGCAACTTTGTTGTTGTTCTCATCTGTTACCATCCCTTTGATGCCCTGGTGAACCTACAGAAAAGGAATACAGAACAGCCTTAAGTCTGACCTCTGGAACCACCCGAGCTCGATGCAATAGATCTGGACATACATATATATAATCACAGGAAATAGGCAAGCATTTTATATTAGTTTCTTTTTATATGAGGCCAAAATTTGAATGAATGAAATTAAACTGACAGATCTGCACATCTCTACTACAGATAAGTATATTGTTTCCATTTCTTTTCTTTTTTAAAAAAAAAATCAGAGATTACCAAAATTCAGATGCAGAGCTTGGAAAAGTTACATTTTGGGACTTAAACTTTCCAGAATGCTGCCTGTAAGGTTCTTCTGAGAGTTATCATCCAGAATCTCTAGGTCTGCGTTAAAACATGAGCCAAAGCAGTACTGATGGAATGGCCCATCCCAAAAAGACATAAATAATGTACTGTAGTTATGGAGCAGAGTGTACGCTTTGCAAAAAGAAGCTGAGGGGGCTCCTGGGAAGTTCTGGAAATATTTCTCTCTGAAGCTACAGAAGGCCAGTACTAGCCAAGCCAAACCGTAAGGCAACTTTCTCCAAGCAGGGGGCAGAGGTGAGGATGAAGTTGAGATACTTGCCAAGGATTGTAAGGCAGGATGGCATCCTGACAGGTCATTACCTGCTCTATATAGGCAATCAGCGCCTCACGGTTAGCCAGCCACTCAAATTCCAGGTCTTCTTGTGCTGGGAATTTGTTGCAACTCAGCTCCAAGGTAATCTCAAAGCAGTTGGTGAACAGATAATTGAAGTCTTGCATCCCTACAAGGCAGAACGTTGGACATACAGGACCTCTGTTTAAAAACTTGCAAAGAAGTATAGTCCACCACCCTCTGAGGCAGTCTGTTCCACCCTCCAACAGCTTTTACTGTCAAAACGTTATTTCTGGTGTTTGTGTGAAATCCCTTTTTTTGGAAGTTTGATTCCTTTGCTTTGGGTGCTACCCTCTGGAACTACATTTGCTTCATGACATTCCATTTGCTGCATGATCTTTGAATGTTTGAGGATGACTATCACATCTCCTCTCAGTCTTAATCTTTTCTTGGCTAAACATACCCAGCTTCCTCAACCATTCTTTTTGGGACTAGTTTTCCAAACCAAACACCATTCTGGTTACCATCTTCTGCATATATTTCAGTCTGTTGATACCCTTCTTAAACAGAAATTAATATAGTGTTCCTTCCATATTTCTTTATTTCATGCAATCATTTCTAGTCCTAATATTCTACTCAAATAGAATATGTGTCATCAAGTGGCTTCTGATGTATGGCTACCCAGTAGGGCTTTAAAAATACTGTATGTGAGATGTTCAAGAAATGGTTTACCATTGCTAACCCCCCCCCCCAAGTGAATCTCCTTGGCTGATCAGGGATTTGAACCCAGGTCTCCTGACTCCTGATTTGACACTTTGTCTACTGTACTACACTGTCATAGCAATATGCTTAGAGTTAATTCAACTGACAATGTACCAATGTAATACAAGGGGGAGGGCACATCACTCCAAAATGTCAGATTTGCCTGTTCCTATAGCTAGTTAGGTATAGCTATCAGCAAATTTGTTGCCATATTTTATACCAACTGCAGTTTCTTTTTTAAAAAAACATTAGGGTTAGTATTCAATTTTAAGGTATTGTGTTCAGCTTAACATGCCTTCAGACACTCCCGCAGAAGAGTCCAAAATGCAGACACCTGTGTTGATTATTGATTTTTATCTACAATTCAGTTTTAGAACAAGGAGCAAGGGGTAGTTTTTTTGTTTTGTTTGTAAAGGCAATGTACACAATAGGCCTTTGTTAACAGTGCCATTTTAAAAAGACCATTGCTTTATACTTTATATCAGAAGTAAGTGAAGAAGGCTGGGTTTTTCCCCCCACCAGCAATGACAATTACAGTGATAGAATTTCCTAGACCTAGAAGAACCACCAGAGGTTGGAAACTTTACTTTTTTGGGTTATAACACCTGGAATCCCCCCAGTGAGGATGTCCCCTCCTGGCTGGGAAATTCTGGGAACCGTAGTTCAGAAGACTAACATTTCCAAACTCTGGAAACCATACAGAATTCTTTCTCACCAGAACAGTTTTATTTGAGCCTTTTTCTCCTCCACCCCTCTCCCATTTCCCTATCTCTGTGTTGGCATAATCTTTCTATTAAAAATGCCTTCTACACATGCCATCTTGAGTCACTGCCTTCAAAACATCCTTCTTTTTCTGCCTTGTGTTCTTGTCCTTTTGCCTTACCTTTGCTGAGTGAATACCATGATGCCCCATTGGTAATGCCATCAGGAAAGAAATCGCCACAGTTTGTGCCCCGGTGCATCCATCCATGGGCATATGAATAGCCTTTGGCCAACTATAAAGAAAATGCCAAGCTGGAGATACTTTCTTCCTGTCCAATTTTATTCACAGAGACATAGCCTGCACTATAACACACATGATTTTAATGTCTAGTTTAGCCCTCAGGTTCAAGCTGATGGGGGAAGATGAAACTAAACAAACTCCCTCACTAGAAAGTGTATATAAAGGGATGTGCTAGGAAGAGTCCTGATGTAATTGAGCATAGTGGTGCCAATGATTCCACATCAATTCCTGAAAAGTATCAGGGAATTAAATATGACATTCAAGCACAAAGCAATTCACTGCTAGTGCTGTCTACAACATGAGACAACATTAGCACTAGAACATTTACAGCATCTACTTCTGTTCAAGAGCCGCTGTTTCAAATTTCCATGGCATATGATGGGATGGCTTTTTTATATCTGTTTTTAGTATTTTAATGCATACTTCTCTGATCTCCTTGGGAAGAAAGAAATAATCCTTTAGATAGTTTTATATCATTAGTTTTCTGACACCCTGCTCTATTCCGTTATCATCACCTGCTGGTAAGTTGTCTGTCTACACTTCAACTACATTTAGCAGCACACTTTTTGCTTTGTTTTACATTTACCGTAAGTCCCATTCAAACGGGTATATAGATCACAATTGGTATGGTTTGGTGCAAATCAAACTATGGTGTCCAGATACGTTTCTACTTAGATCGCTCCATCCTGCCTCTTTAAGAGCTGTCCTGCTTCTTTTTGGCACAGCACTAGGGTCTTCTGCTTTGTTTTGTTTTTTGCATGATTAAACACAGTCCTAATTATCTGATTGTGTAGCCCATGCAGATGGCTAGATCACGCGCAAATGGAGCTGTGGACGGTGTTATCAGAGGTGATAATGCTGTGATGTAATAGGTGAGTTGTGACATTAAAAGAGAGGACAGAGAAACCTCCTCCTCTATTTTTATTTTCTTCTTCTTTTTTTCATATTTCCCTAGCTGAAACAGAACAATTCTAATACCATTATTGGTGGATGCATTGCTCTGTAGATGTGCCATTTAATTTATTTAACAAAAAAAAAGGGGGGGGGGAAATTCACCACAGCCCGCTAAATAACAGCTGAAGGGAAAAGGCAGGGTGAAAGGCTATGTCGACTCCATGGGCTCTGCCCCCCACAAGGCAGTGCAGCCCTAGCAGAGCCCCAACTGAGGAGAAAGGTGGGGAAAGCTGTTTACTTCCTTCCCTTCCCCACAGCCTTCCCCCAATGTTTCCCCTCTTGTGCTGCCACCGCCTCTTTATTCACAAGTAAACTGGGTAAATCTTAATTCTGAGTAAATCAGGTAAACCTTATTTATGAGTAAACTGGGTAGACTTATTGGCAATCCTAAGACTTGTGTGGAACCTTCTCACAGGAGAAGAAATGTCTCCAATGTGAACAGAAGGTTTGCTCAAGTGAGAGATAAAACAGATCACACTGAAGATAAGTACTAGAGATGGGGGTATTCGTATACAAATACAAATATCCCTACACAGCTGGACTTTATGAGGGTCTGGCCCCTGGAGCTGGGCCATCCACTCATGTATCTGGTGGCATCGGCGGCCCTGCTCATCCTTCCAGTCGCTTCAGAGCACCGCTGTCTTCCCACTCGTCTGGCCCCTGGGGCTGGGCCGTCCACTCATGTGTCCGGTGGCATCAGCGGCCCTGCTCATCCTTCCAGTCACTCCCAGAGCATCGCTCTCTTCCCACTCAGCTGACCACTCAGCAGCCCTGCAGGGAGACCTGTCCTCCCTTCCCCACCCTGGAGTGGCTAGCTGAGCAGGAAGAGAACGATGCTCTGGGAGTGACTGGAAGAATGAGCAGGGCTGCTGCCACCCCAGGGGCCAGACCCTCGTTAGGTCCAGCTGTGCGCAGATATTCGTATAGGAATACCCTCGTCTCTAATAAGAACTTTTAAAGCACAAACCAGACCGCGCCCAAATTCCCCTGTCTGGACAAGCCTGTAGATGGAATAAGATTCTGAAATGATGATGAAGCCATTTCACTTGTAGAATCTTCCTGAAACAGAATTTCTTGGACTCCACCTTCCAGCATAGCCAATCTTCAGGCATAATGTAGTCCAACAATATCTGGAGGGCTCTGCATTTTCCAGTCCTATCCTAAAAGACTTATCCTGTTCTATAGGTTAACTGGATTGAGTTTATCTTTGTCTGTGCTTACTGGCTGCCTATGCTGTCCATCTCATGTTGCTTCTAGATTCATTGCTTCTCACCTTTTTGAAGAGTTCATCATCGGGTGTGGGGCTGTTGGTGGCATGCCAGATGCCCCGAATTCTTTGCTCGTGGGCTTTATCATAGGGATAATTGGCCACTACAGCTCCACCATGGAGGTTGGCTGAAAGCACAAAATTGTAGCTCTTCATCCACTGAATCACAGCCAAAGTTTCTGGCTCCACCTGTATGTGAGAGAAACAGAAGAAGACAGGGCAGAAGCATCTTGCTAGCCAGTGTTTCTGCTTTGCTACAAGAGGTAGCAAAATTTGCTAGGACTGTGCCTTTTCAGAGGAAGTAGATGAAAACATGAAGAATTCATTACTTTCTCCAACTATTTCTGAGCTTTGAAATGACATCATGTGTGTTGACAGGTGCCTGTTTATGGGGCCATGTTGCTCCAATCTGATTTCTTTCTTGCACAATGCAAAATATGATTTTCATGATGCATGTCTTTCAAAACAAATCACCGGATGAGTCTCTAATATAATCATTTATTACCTGATTTCTCCAGTTGTCTGGCAAGGGAATGTGGTGGTTGGATCCACCATTTTTCTCATTGTAGTACATGATGGTATTGAGGTCAGGAAAGTTGCGGTTAAGGTCAACTCCATTGGCATTGTTTCTCCCAGTTAGGTCCCTTAAAGCCCTTTGACTCTAGAGAGGGAATGAAATAATTGCCATGTGAGGTCTAGGGATGACTGAGTGTATATCAGGACCTGTCTCATCGCTTGCATCAAGGAAAGGAGGAGATGAACTGTTAGAAAAAGCAAGAATATATGTAGAGACCTTTAGGAATTTCTGAATGTAGAGGTTGCAAATACAGCATTGTTAATGACTGTCACTGAAATTAGATTACACTTTAATTAATATGAGCTGGCTGGATAAGTATCTGGCTGCGGAGCCAGAGGTTGGGAGTTTGATTCACTGCCGTACCTCCTGTGAGTAAAGCCAGGCTGTATGGACTTGGGCAATCTGCACAGTTCAAAGGCACCCCCAGAAGAAGGGAATGGTAGACCACTTATGAGTATTCTCTATTTGGAAAACCCTAACTAACTTGAAGGGACATCATCATCATAACTTTTTCATTAATACACTTTATTTCCATAAATAATTGCATTTAAAGGTGCTCATAATATTTTTTTAAAAAAAACTGGAACTTTGTGAACCGACATTAATTATCCGCATGTGTTATAAGTTCAAATTCCCAATTAGGGTTGAAAACAAATCAATGTACAAGTTCAGCAGCCTTGCCTTTGGATTTCTCTTAGAGGTATGAATCTCTGATAAAAGGCATAAACTCAGCGTTGTTAAATTAGCTATTCTTTTTAAGTACGTATGTTCATCTCTTTTGGCTGCCAGCCAGCAGTAGCATTTCCCTTGAAGCTAACAGTCCACCGTAGAATCACCAGAGGCAAAAGAGACGGTCGAAAACGTTCCGAGGTCAGGGTAGCCAAGTAAGATAGCAGAAAAAAAGTAGTTCGCAAGAAAAACGAACTAAGAGATCGAAGCTCTAAACGAGAGGTCCCAACTTCACTGGCGGAAAAATGGAACTGAGCCGTTGGCGGGCTAGACATGCGCGGTATAGGGTAGCCTAAACATTGTTACTTTTCTCTTGCAGCTCTAGAAAATTCCGAGAGGCCAGCGCAGGCGCTGTCTGAACCCACTAGTGTGGATTCATGGAGAACCACGTTGAAGAACTGTCTTTTTTTTATTGGTGATGAGACAGCATCTTCCACCACATTCGAAGCAGCAAAGTGCTGAATGGCATACATCCCTCTAACATCCTTCTGCTGCCTCCTTGCAACTGCCACCTAGAGTGACTGTTTCACATTGCCTAAGGGTAGTCCTGGCCTTGAGAGGGAGGTCAATGGGAAATGGCAGTTAAGAGACAATGAGAAACCCACATGCTCGCTCATGGGGAGAGGGGATGAACAATTGCTTGTGATCTTCCAAAGCTTTGCACTTCTTGCCACAGCAAGGCAGGTGCATCTTGTTCTGCCCTTATAAGATGTTTTCCTAAATCAGACCAAGAGCCTCCTAATTCATTTGGAAGCAGTGGCGTGATAGGAGCCTCTAGCAAAATCACAAGGAAATAATGATGGTGATACTTAGCTATCCCATGCTGCCCCCCAAGTCTGGTACCAAGTTCTGACTTGTTTCCTCCCCCTAACTGGAATTTTCAGACAGCTACCATAACTAAAAATAAATTGATATATATTTGGGATGCAAAATGTGGGGCCTTCCAACTTATTGGACTGCAACTTCCATCAGCTCTATCCTGCACAGCCAGTGATGAAGGATGGTGGAAATGGCTATTTTTAAGACCTCAGGAAGGCCACATATTCCCTGTCCCTGAGACAGATTTGTCCTCTACGAATGATTCTATCAAATATATATATTTCCACTTTAGAGCTTGAAAAAGTTTCTTTGTAAACTGTTGATCCTAGACTACTCCAGCCAACAGGGCCAGCTGCAGGATTCTCAAAAATATAATTTTAAAACCCACAAAATTTTCCAAGCTTGGGTCCTTCTTTGAGACTTCTCCCTTAGCCTCACAATCCTCCATTACCACAATTTCTTAGGTAAGAATCAGATGCTTGCCTGATACCTGGGCAGCTGACACTTCATATCCATCAGGGTTCATGGAGGGCAACAGGTGAATGCGTGTCTCATGGATGAGCTCGGTGATGCGCTGGTTGCCATGTCGATACTCCTCACACAGGAACTCTGCAAGCTGGAGCAACAGTTCCCGGCCCAGCACCTCATTCCCATGCATGTTCGCCACATACTTGAACTCCGGCTCCACTGGAAAAGTGAAAGATTTGCTGACATTGAAACAGAGTGGCTAGAATACCACACGGTGGGGGAGCAGTGCTCTGAAAACATTGAGACTGAGTGGGAAAAGGAATTGGTTTCCCCTTGACATTGCCTCCTGATACAACAATGGGATGTTGCTATTGGTTAGATTTCACTGGGAGGCATTCCCTCTCCACCTCTAAAGAAGTTCCTTTTTTAAGGGCTACAACTCCAAGAATCTCCCATCTCGCCTGGCCCTGACATGACTATTCTGTGTGAGGATTCTGGGAGTCGCAGTCCAGAAAAGGAACTTCCCTAAACTCTGTCTTGTCTAGACTGCAGAATGTTTGTTTGAGAAAGCCGCTCACAGCTCACATCCTCCACAGAGACAGAAACAAGCACAGATTTCTTACTAAACTCCCATTGTTATTACTGGAAGAAGAACAGGCAACCTCTAGGAATTCAGAGTTGCAAAAAGTGATGGTCTATGAAGGAGCAGAATGAATTTGGAGAGCAGGGGGAAGATTTTATCTGATGAAGGATTGATGAGAGGGTCCCTTCAGATCAACAGGATAAGGATCTCTGTTTTCTTATTTTGTTCATCCAGGGCTGCCTGTTCCTATTCCTTCAGCTCCTCTCACTGGTTTGTCACATTCCTGATTTCAAAAGCCTCAAGAGGCTTTAAACTAAACTGCAAAAATCAAACCAATCCTTCAATTTGGCCAGGCCTCAAAACCTTTTCTGTAGAATCATTGTCCCCATAAAGTGGCCCCTTAAACTCTATACAAGCACCTTCCAGGGTGGAGGAATATGAGAACATTCTCCTCATCAAAAGGAGACTTCATTCAGCTCCACAGAAATGCAACATAAGGGGTAAAAACAACAACAGCTAAATTATATAGAGAAGAAGTGTGGACAGGAGGGGTTGCAGTTTCCTTACATCTCCCCCAGTCCCAAAACAAATAGACTAAGATCACGGGAGCCCCAGTTTATTCAGACAACCCTTGCGCCAAAGTACATTAGGGGTCAGACTTTTCTTTCCCCATCTTTTCTTCCTCAGTTTCATGCCCTTGTCCTTGTGTTCCTAAAATTAGCCCAACACCTGCAAGCATTGGTGTCCTGTGCTATATGATGGGTAGAGTGCCAAGCATGATGGTAGGAGACACAAGTACAGATTCCTGTTCAGTATAAAGCTTGCTACTGCTTGGCATAATCTACCTCACAAGCTTGCTGTACAGGGAAATGCTAGATTGCTGCTGTGAGAACCTCAGAGGGAATTATTTTTTATTTTGTTGTTTAAATTGTGTGTATGCAGCCCTTTTTGACTCATCTGCCTCATTGAGGATAGTTGCTTGGGGCTGTTAATAATAAAACACTGTGAAGGTAATTAATTCATAGAGCCATCGTACGTCAATGGCAACACTTAAAATGACTTTACACCATGTAACAACAGCATGCAGCTCTCTACTTTATTAGGTTTCAGGACAGTATTACCACCAGAAAGAGGGGCTGGCATGCCACCTCTGAGTACTTTATTCCTAGGAAACCATAGGAGGGTTGCCATAAGGTGGAATATACTTGGCAGCACATCATTATTAATAGTTGTCTTAGATGTGCAGATCTGGAATGGACCCTACAGATCATTGCCAAGGAGGCACAGCAGGGAACTGAACTCCCAAACTCTGGCTCCTCAGCCTAAGCCAAAGAGCTATCCAGCAGTTCATACAAATATAAAGTCATGCTACAATCAGACACAAAAGAAAGAGGTGCCACAGGAGACAAAATCTTAAAACAGACTAACATAATTCCTTGATTCGTTAGCATTTATGAAAATGCCTGGGTTATTGGACATCTTTTTGCCTGGCATCTAAATGACAACAATGTTGTATCCAGGCAAAACTTGAAGAGGGCTTTTAAGGAAGGTGCCACCAGCAAAAAAAAGGCCTGGTCAGAATAGATGGTTGCCCTCCTCCCTCTGAAAGAATTACATAGAGAAAAGCCTCAGCAGTTAGCCATTTATCTTAAAGTTCTTGCCTCATAGCTACCCCTCTGGTGGGGCCTGCATTCCCCTCTCTTTTCATCATCCTCATCAAGCTGACAGAGGAAAGTGCTTACTTGCCATAACAGTGCAAAAAGCTACGGATAGCCGAAAAAACAGGAGGATCTCTCAAAATTTCCCTCCACCACCAAAGTTTACTGTAAATGTCAGGCTAGTTCCCTCTGCTGGGTGCTTGTTCCTAGAATCTGTGCCTAAAAGAGAGATAGAGCAGGACTTGGACCCTAGGTTTAAATTTCATCTCACCTTCCCTCTTCAGACGGCTCTTTGGTCATAGCTCTCTCTGCCTCCATTCCTCATGTGTAAAATGAAGCAACACTGTACCCCGCTACAGTGGTGTTAGAACAAAGGAGGGCAAATAAGGTAAAGGTCAGAAAGCACTCTTTTAAAATTAAGAGGAGTATCTGCCAAGTCACTATGGCAAGTCACCATCAACAGACCCACTGATTACATCCCATTCAGTCCCCCCCACCTCCCTTTAGACTGACACATCTCTGCTTTCCCTGGTCATGAAGCTATGAGCAGGGATCATTGGCTTGAATCTAGGGCAATGCTGAAAACCCAGTGCTCTTGAATTCATCCCAAGACTGGAAGTGGAAAAATAAGCAACCCCTCCACTGTGGTAGGAAATGGTTACACCCTCAGGCATACTTACTAGGCTCATGGATGCCAGGATAGTCGCTAAACTCCAGCACATAGAGGTGGCGGCCCTGGACGCTGCGTCCAATGCTGTACAGTCTGGTAATATACGGGCATGAGCCCTTCACATTGAACAGGGCTTGCACCATCTCCTCATAGCCATGATGGAAGAAGTTCACCGAAGCAGCCACCTTTGTCAAGAGCAAGACTCTCCCAAGGAGGCAAAGCCACTGAGACATCCTCCTCCTGTGCACAGGCGAGCTGTTTTTCAAACTGTGGTGATGAACACTGCCGGAGCCCTCTTCTTAGTCAAGAACTAAAGTACAAACTCAGACCAGCTCTCTCCAGTTCCACAGACAAGTGCCAGCCCACACTCCACCTGTGGTGGTGGTGGTAGTAGTGGTGGTGGGAGGGGTGTCTCAATGAATGCCGCTCAGAGCTCACGAAGGATTTATGGCTCTGCGTTTTTGCCTTGCTTTCACTCTATAGCTTGCTAGAGTCCCCCACCCACCCACAGTTCCTGGAGCCAGAATCACTCAAAGCTTCTGCAGATTTGGAAAGCTGTGCTGACTCCTGTTCATTTATTAACCGAAGGGTAAACAGGGGTTTGAAACTGCCCGACTCTCACTGTCAACTAGGAACTTGATTAAATCTTATATGATAAGGTGGGGAGAGTCAAGGGGCTGTGGTCCCTTCTGCAAAAGGTTCTGTTTATGCTAGAACTCAGCCTAGTTCGGTATAACTATTTGCAGTAGAACTCAGACCTAGCTCCGAATTCAGAGAGCATTTTCAACAAGAGATCCAAGTCCTGGAATACATGAATAATGCACTTCTGAGTATGTACAGAAAACCTCTCCTTTTTGCTGAGAAAATGCACCCTGTCTCCACACACCTGACAGCATAGTGCAGTTTCCAGAGCACACCTACATGACTCCCCAGTAGCTGTGTATACTGGCAGTGTTCTTTTCAGAAGTCATATCCTGGCAATAGAACTGAAAAAGGTCACTGATGCCAATTCCCATGGGCTGCTGACATCCAAAATAAGCAACAGTGCTTAAAAAGAAACAAATGTGGGCCGAGGTGTGAATGTGATGTGGGGCAAAGACCAGCACTTTCTCTTCGCATGCCACTGCCCCCCCCATGGCACAGGGACAAGATTCTCCATGTGGAGGTGTGTGTTCATCAGATTGGCTTAGTTCCTAATACTGCCCTCAGCAAAGTTTCACTAAGGATTCCGGAGCCCAGATCTTCTGGGTCAATTATCAAGGTGCCTTATGGATATAAACAACACAAAATCACTCAGCACAGTGTTACATCCAAGTCCAAGCTTTTCAGCATCTCATGTTCTGTGCAAGGCTCAATGTACACTCCATCCATGTTTTCCAAATGTATGAAATTTTTTACCATCAATGAAAGATGAATCCTGTTGTCCTCAAATTAAATATACTTGAGAGAAACTCAACAGCAGCAGGATTCAGCCAGTTAGGAGCTGAGAGAGAATCTAAGGGTTTGATCACACGGAGAAATAAATTGTATTTTGGACTGCTTGCAGAGTGGTCCAATGCAATTTATTTCCTGGTGATCATACAACATTGTGTGATCACCAGAGAGAAAAACTCATGGGACTTCTGTTCCAGACCAGCCTTGATCCAAGCTCAAACTGAACTTTTTTGTCTAGCTATAGGTTTACTACTTTTTTGGGGGCCAGGCTGAAGTGATTCCCCAACAGATTGATGGGTTGCTTTAAGGGAATTTGCTCCCTGCAAAGCAACTCTCTCCGATGCAATCAAACATGCACCTTTCCCACCATCTGACTGCACCCTAAGAAATGTTTTAACCTCCCCATAGGATGCTCAGTTGGGATTTAGCTTAAGAGATGGAGGAAAACACAACAGAAGGTTCCAAATATTTACTTCTGCTTATGTTGCTGTTATAAATTATTTGGTTCTGTTAGCTCTTCTGACTGGAATGAAAAAATCACCTCCACCAATGGTTCTTTAAACAAGTCTGGGAAACAAATACATAGAAATGATTATTTCCAGTTACCATTAGTCATGGATTATCTGATTAGATTGTTTTCTGAGAGACCACTAATCAATAGTTCCCATTCACATTCAAGTTGAGCTCAGTCCGTCAGTCATGCATTCAGTCAGTACTCTATTTGCTGAAACCAAAGGTCATACCTAAAAAGAAAACTTTAAAAAGATTCAAGTGAAAGAGAATAACAACAGGTTAGCATACAGTACCTGCCTCTAATTTTCTCAGCTGTCACATTACAAAAAGTTGTCATATATAACATGTACATACATATCAAATAGTGCAGTATTAATCCTGAAGAAATCGTCAATCCAGAAAAAATCCTAAGCGGCACCATGAGGAATGTTGCATCCAGCATAAGAAAACATGAAAGGAGCAATTCCTATAGGGTTGGATGCTTGTGTGTATATTCAGCTCTATAGGATTTGCTCTATCTGCAAGAATCATTTATTATTTGGTAGGACCAAAGGAACATAAATATGGACAATGCATATGCTCATAGCTACAGTGGCTTGACCAAGCTACCTGCTCCTAAAAAAGAGTGACAGTAGCAAATACATATCTTGATTTGATGATCCCATGTGATCAAAACATACATAGGAGTCCAAGGAATGGTTTGATATTGATTCACTTCAAGTTGTTACAAAGAGCAGCATAGAAACTGAATTTTGGAACTCAGGCAACTTGCATATGCAAAATATCTGTGAAGATTCTCAGTCATCCAGATGAGGTTATCTGGACATTGAGTCAGGGCAACTGGACCTCTTTCTTATTAGGTTGAAATACTGTATTTCACTACTCATCCAGGTAAATTCTTCAACCTGGAGAAAGTTGATAAGAGACCCCTGATATATATTTCCCTTTGGTTTCACTTCCCCCTGGTCTGAATAGGCTCATTAGATGGACAAGGCACTGGGTGTGAGTGAAAATCCCACTTCTGCAGTCCTTCTCCACTCATTGCCATGGGTTGTTAAGAGTAGTCTTTCTGGTGTGTGTGGTTCTGATCTTTCTGGGGATGGATGAAAGGGCAGAAAATGTTGTTGCTGTAATCACAAGAAATGCGGGGTAGGGACGGCATGTTCAAATTCAATCACATTGTGACTCTGCACCTAATTTCTTGTTCCAGTTAGTCTACTCAGAATCCACTGTGTAATGAAGCATGCACACAGCAAAGAAAGGACAGTAAGAAAAGGGAGGAGATGAAGTAGCGAATCCACTGTGTAATGAAGCATGCACACAGCAAAGAAAGGACAGTAAGAAAGGGAGATGAAGTAGGAGTAGGAGTGATGACTTGGGCATGTGGAAGTGCAAAGGATGAGTGAGTCTTGGGATAAAGCAGAGAGGGACATAAAGGGAGAGAAGACTAGGAAACTTGTAATGTTACAGAGGAAAATGGGAAAGAAGAACTATGGAAGATAGCAGAGTGAACTGAAGACATCAGATATCTGTTTATAGATAAATGAAGGAAAGAAGCAGAATAGTTGACTAACTGGTCAAGGTGGATACACATACATCAAAAACAAAATAAAACAAACACCTGCCTTGTTTCTGCTTTGAAAATACAGTTTTGTAAAGATATTTTGTTGTTGTGTAGTAGTAGCAGTAGCAGTAGCAGTAGCAGTAGCAGTAGCAGTAGCAGTAGTAGTAGTAGTAATAATAATAATAATAATAATAATAATAATAATAATAATAATAATAATAATAATAATAATAATAATAATAATAATAATAATAATAATAATAATAATAATAGTGTACCATCAAGTCAATTCTGACTTACGGTGACACTTTTCAGAATTTTCTAGGTAGAAAATACTCAGAAGTGGTCTCCCATTCCCTTCTTCTGGGGATGCCCTGGAACTGTGCAGCTTGCCCAAGGCTGTACAGGCTGGTTATTCTGAGATGCACTGTGGGGAATTGAATTCCCAGCCAATGCCTCTACAACCAAAAACCTAACTCACTTAAGGTATCCAGCCAGCAGAGTAATAATAAGTTCAGCAAAATAATTCTGCAACTTTGGGTATGTTTTAATTAAACAATAGCAAGAGGAAAAACAGGCATTTTAGATTAATCTTATTAGCCAAAGTCCTACTGGGGAAAACCACAAACTTAAAAGTTAATCATGTAAGTGGCTTTCCTCTGGATTTGTTTTGTCCATGGTGTAGCTGAGCATACGATCAAGCATGTAACTTGCTTATTCATCAAGTGGATGAAGGTGAGCCTGATGGCCAGCTGGCTTGATGAAACAAGATTGTTTGTTTTGTTGGCCATATGGGGGAAAAAACGGAGACAATAAGATTCTGCCCAAGCTCTTAAAAATATATACTCCTTTTCTGTAGACTGGAACTCCCTCTTGGACCCATACTTTAATGTTATGAGATGGTTTGAGTATGTCAAGGAAACTGAGAGCAATGCCACTGAGAGGTGGTACTCTGTCATGAATCTGAGCTCCTTGCAGAGTCATCTAAAGTAGAGGGGTCAAAGCTGAGACACCAGACTAAGATGCATTCGCCCTGGTAAGAGTGATATCAGTACAAGCGAATGGATAGTTCCAATGGCGATGGAAGGGGAGGGAAGAAACCTCTGGTGGACAGCTACTGGGCTGCAACTGTAAAAGAAGGTGTCACTAGGGGAGGAACTTTCACAGACAAAAGCAGTGACACTAAAGCTAACTTTTGTTGCTACTGTTCAAAAGTGAGCAATAGTAAACCACTTTTGAATACTTCATATCTTGAAAAAACGACATTGAGGCAGTTGGAAATAAGCAAGAGACAGTAATGGAAGATAAGGTCAGAAGGCACCCAGTCAGCTATGGGGGAAGAGCAAGGGAAAATTATGAATAATGCTGTTGCTAATAAAGCAACTAAATTAAAGCCAGAAGAATGTTTAGTGGCCCTTGTGCACAGAGGCCAAAGGAAAGTCCAGTGCTGCATAACAAATATAATTGGAACATGGAATGTGAGAAGTACGACTCAAGTTGAATTGAAACAATAAAGCAATAAGTGGAATGTTTAAACATTGCAATATTCAGTATGAGTATAGAATGGAATAGAACAATTTCAGTCAGACAAGTGCAAAATGTTTTACTCTGGAAACAGCAGAAAAGAAGAAACAGAGTGGCTCTAATATTGAAGCAAAATGAAGCAGAAGCAGTTAGGGCTATAATGTAAAACCTAGCCAAATAATATCAACCAGACTTCTTGGTAAACCTGTCAAAATAACCATATCTGTTCCTGGTCTTCACATGTCATCTATCCTTCCTTTTCTGCTTCATTCTCTGCTTTTATGATCACTCTTTTGCTGTACGTGATAGCTTTTGGCTCTGAACAACCTCACAGCTCATGGGTTGTTGTTTTTCAAGATGTATGGGGATCAGCACCTCTCCCACTGTCTCTTCTGCTTGGGATAGGATCATGTTATAGAAAAGTGCTGCTACTTCCAACATTTTTCTATACCTACCCTTCAGAACAGACAACTCTTTCTTAGTACTT